AATCTTTCTTCTTGTTGTCCAGGTTTGCTTGAAAGTTGCAAATGCTCATACTGTGTATTTTTTTTTTTTTTTTGACTCCTGGTCCTTATATCAGTTAGCATTAGATTTGATGGAAAAAACAGGCCTAAAATAAAATAACTTTAATAAAACAGCAGCTTATTTTTCTTGGTGAAAATATAAAGGGATATAATTCAAGGTGGGTTTGGTGGCTACATTCAGAGAGCCTTGTGGAATGCTTAATCTATTTTATGAAATGAAGCCCTGCCAGATTCTAGAATTAAAAATAAAGGCAATTGAAATCTTAAGAACCTGCCGCTAATCCCAGAACTCTGGAGGCTGAGGCAGGAGGACTGCTGTGAGTTAGAGGCCAGCCTGGGCTCCATAGTGAGGTCAGGATCAGCCTGAACTACAAAGTGAGACCCTGTTTTAAAATACAAAAACAAAGCAAACAAAAAAGTAAAATCTTAAGAACAACAAAACAAAAGTCCTCAGAGCCTCAGACTCCTACCTTGTTGCTTTCCCACAGGGCTCCAAAGATTGGGTTATGATCCAAGATGATACTCTAGAAGTAGCCAGCACACTTTCGTCCCAACTAACAGTAAGAGGATGAACATCTGCCTCACCTGTATTGCAAAGACAGTTGCCATCGCTTGCATCACTATACCTTCTCCTACAGTCATCAGCCAGCACATAGTTCAGGACTACAGCTGGCTGCGAGGTGGCTGAAAATACTGTCTTGCCTCTGGGTGGCTATATGCTCAGTTTAAATAAGGACAGTCCACTGGCTAAAATTTGATAATTTCACTACAGTGAAGGAAAAGAGAAGCAATCTCTGTCATCTACTTCCCTATTGGACTGTTTACCTGAGCTTGTCAGACATTATTTTGAAATTGCCTCCAATCCACTAAGCATCAGTGGGGGATATGAGCAGATTTCATGAAACTAAGAGCACAGGGGAAAAGTAGTCATTAATGAAAATCATATTCAAAACTATGCTATAATACAGTTACACCAGACTTCATGGAAGTACCTCTGCTTGTGGCATGAATAAATAGTCATATGAATTTTAAAACTGAAAAACTAAAGATTTTCAGGAGTCATTGAGTGAATACAAGATGTTGACTCCTGTTACTTTGACCTTGTTAGGTACTGTTTTTTTCCAGTAGATAATAAAGAAAATTTCTTTATTTTTCTTTAACGTCTATTTAAGGCTAGTGACCTTGAAGTCTTTATCAGGGAAGGATCTTCATTAATATCTTGGATTCTGATTCAATATAAGCATCCTGTTGATTCATACAAAGTCTTCTGGTTTTTTTGCCCAAGGGGGAAGAGCAACATCATTTACTACTACTTCATTTTCTGTGATACCAAGATGCTATTCTTTATTGTTGACAAACATCTCTGGAAGGTAGCAGAACTCTGGGATTAGTTTCTTTACTCCAGAAGTATCTCTCTGACTAGTTCTCCAAGACTTTGCAATTGATGACAAGGTTCCATCTAGATGGTCAAATTTTCCATCATCCGAATTGAGGAAGAAGGTTGTGAAAGGTTCATTTCAAACAAGCCAGGGTAAGGTAGACGTCTGTGTTGAATAATGTGTATTATAGTGGTAGAGTGGGCTTTGCTCATCTTCCCAGGTCTCATAGTGCTCTGTGCAAAACACTGCTCTCTTTGGATTCAGAGCACCAATTGGCTTGACAGATTCCTGAAGTTTCCTGGAAGAGTCAGGTCCAATTCTTCTGATTCATAGTTTGTTAATACCCAAGGAAACACAGGGTATTGGCTCAAATCATTATATGTCTGTCCTGGTATAGTATTAAGAAACATCAAATATTTGAAATTTGAAATTTCCCTTCTTTGCCAGAGCTGAGTCAGGTTGGAAGATTTATAAAGCTGTCAAGGAGTGGTCAAGGATATTCTCCTGGCTTGTGGCAACCCTTTGCTGGTCCCTACTCCTACCTGAGGCGACCTATAAACAAATTTTTTTACTGTTGCTTGATCAGGGAAATTAAACATAACCAAGGTTTACTTTGCCATAAATACTTCCAGAGCAGTGTGTTGTAGAAGATAATGTCTTGAGCAGGGCATGGTGGCTCAAGACTGTAATCCCCGCACTTGGGAGGCTGATGCAGGAGGATCGTTACAAATTCAAGGCCAATCTGGGTGACAGTGAGTTCAAAGTCGAGTGAACTGCATAATTAAACCCTATCTCAAAAAAAGACCAAAAAAAAAAAAAAAAAAACCAACTTGAAAATACAGCTGGTATCTCACTGAATATCCGTTTTCCATGAAGTCCCTGTGTAAGAACTTTTGTGCCAGTCTTGAAGGCAGGATCATCCTCATCTTGAGGTATTGATTTTGTGTATGTGAACATAAGCATTTAAACCAAAATTACACTTACACCAATGATTTTCATCAACAGAAGTATTTTTCTAGAGCAAACTTTAATTTCATATTACAGTTGCACTTTCTCATTTTTTCTGCCCTACAGATATGATAAATACTGATTTGACTGTGGAAGGTGGGGGAGGGACAAGTCTGGGATGATCCCAGACTTCAGGCTTAGGTGAGTAGGAGGATATTGATGCCCTTACTGAGATAGGATAAATAAGATGTGGGTAGAGGACACGTTTAGCTTTTCAAAAGCCAGCCGGACATAGAAGTGGAATTGAGATATTTGAATTTTAAAAATTTAAAGGTTTGGAGTGATAAATTTGAGAGATGTCAGCTTCCACGTGATAGCCACAGGAGAATCAAGTCACCACTTTGGGAAAATAGGAGGCAAAGTTGTAACCTGTCAGCTTCCTTTGGCCAGCACATGCATTTTATTTGGTCCACACAAAAGTTTTAAGAAAATATGAGTTAGTGTTTTTATATTTATTTCCCTTTATTTTTTGTCTTTTTTTTTGTTGTTGTTGTTTTGTTTTGTTTTTCTCCGGTACCGGGAATGGAACTCATGACCCTGCATTTGCCAGGCAGGCACTGTGCTGCTGAGCTAAATCCCCAGCCTTTATTTCCTTTTAAAGATGAGAGAATCCAACATCACTGGGTTGGCTTCCTGGTTGGCAAAAGTTAATTCAAGCTGAGCAGGGACAAGAGCTCGTTCCCCATAATCTGCCCACGGGGTTCACTTGTTTATGCTGACTGCATGGCTGGGAAAGGCTTTTGGATTTAAAGGCTCTGATACAGCACAGGAGGGCCAAGAGGGAAGAGTTAAGGACAGGGGAAAGAAGAGGGGTCCCATGATGGATACTGAGGGGGATGAGTAAAGAGGTAAGAGGGGAACAGAGAGGGTTGGTAACGAGAAGGTACAAGAGGAGGAACAAATATTGTTTGCACAGCTCTATCCAGCTGTTTTGCTTAACCAAAATTTAGGAGTCATTTTAACACATTCCTTTTCTTTTCGTATCCTTATCTAATTCATCTCCACAGCTGTCACATTTAGCTCTAGTCCTTAAAGTTGTTCATTTCTCTCAACCATTTTTTTTTCTTCAGCAGGCATTTTATTCCATTTTTCAAACCAAAATATGACATAAAACAAGAGCTTTAGTCTTATCTCATTTTTTGTATAAATCATCTGAGGGACAGAGAATATAAGTACTGTATTTGTTAAAAGTCGACAGGCTTAAAAAAGAATCAAGGTATATCGTGTACAGGTACAAATTCCCCTTGATACACGTGATCATTGTGTATACCTAAAATGTAACATAAACTCAATTTTTTAAAAAGCCAACAGGCTCAGAAATAACAGGAAAAAACCCACACACATTATTTTGGTCTCTGACTCTATGCCTCTGCACAGATTGCAGCACTGGTGTAGATACTCGTAGAGAATTTCTTCAATACCAGAGGATCTCCTCCATCGTTTCTCATCTGGTCTTTACAAAAGCAACTAGGCTTTCTGCATCCTTTCTTGCCTCTTGTTTTTCATATACACCCGCCACCAGGTGGTCTTAGAAAACTACATCCTGTCGCTCACGCTCCACTGGCTTCCCAGGGCAGTTGAGATAGAATCCTCGCTCCTTACAACAGCACAGACTGGATCTGAAAACTCGGGACTCTCCTTGGCTTACTGATCTGCTAGCCTGCTTTCCCAAGGGCACCACTGCGGCCCGCTCCCCACACTGCGGCACTGCAAATCCTTCTCGCGGCGGCTCTTCCCGCAGATCTCCCAGAACCGGTGGCTTCTGCTCTGGTTTAACGCGCCTCTGGGGAGAGCACTTTGGCGTCTCAGAAGAAACGGGCAGCTGCCTTTCTTTTATTTTCCAACAGTTTAATCTTTTCCTTCCACACATTTATCTCTAAGAACGCATGCACAGAGCATAAATCTTTGTTGAGTTATTCGACGTTTGCTCTCTCAACTAGAAAATACTCCCGCTGAGGGCCGGCCCAACGACTGCGAGCTGCCTACCATCCGCCCCATGGGTGTAATTGCGCTGGCCGGGCACGTACAGCGAGCTTAACAAATGATGGTGCAATGAATATGTGAACAGGCATGCATCAGAAACGGAAGAGACTGAGGAATAAAACGTGCACACTTGTATTTCAATAACTTTTTAAATTACCTAAGAGATTTTACAATTAGAAGCAGTCGCGCACCGAGGTACTACACTTTTCCCCCTTCTCAGGCCCGCAGCGGCACCGCGCCTGCGCAGACCTCCTCTGGAGGCCCCGCTCCTCCCTTCCCGAGGGCTCCGAGGCTTCGGGCGCGCATGGATGACGTCACCTGACGCGTGCCTGGTAGCCCGTAGTAACCCGGAGTCCGCGGAAGTGGAGACCTGTGGGCAGTCCGCTAAGACAGGTAACCTGCACGCTCGCGGTTGGACCCCTGCCTTTCTCTTTGCACCGCGGGGCAGCAGTATCCAGTTCGGAAGGCGGCTGGGAGCCCGGCCCTGCCCTCACCTTCGTTTTGTCAGCGGGGACCCTTTCCCTTCTCAGTTCTCTCAGACATAGGGGTCTGGAACCGTCCTGGGAACTGAACGGAGGAGCCACTTCTCAGCATCTCAGCCCTCCGAATGGCGAGGGACTTTGTCCTCTCCTTAAGCCGGTGCCGCAGCCCCCTTCCTCTTTGCCCTCCAGGCCCTTCTCACCCGCCCGGCTCTGCTCCCCAGCGGCACAGGGCTCGTCTCCAGTCTGGTTTATGCAGAAGAGTTTCGATTCTGCTCCTTTCCACTTGCAGTGAAGCCTGTCCTCCCTCCCCTAAAACCCCAGGATCCTTATTGAGGGCACCGCGTTTTGAAGTTTGATGTCCGTGAGGAACACACCTTCTGTGTCAACCGAGAATGTCGCGCATTAACCACTGTATTCGCGGGCGCTGGGGGTAAGGGGGTGGCGGCGGCGGCTGTGCAATACTGTGAACATCTATTGTGATAATGATTCACTTGGGATCCAATCAATTTGAGATGCACGGAACAGTAAATAGCACTTCATTAAAATGCTCACATAGTAGATTTGCCCCTGGATTTCTTTTTGGTTTTCAAGCAATCATGACAATTACCCCTGCAAAGGTAGCCCACAAAATAAATGAGTAACATCTCTCTAGGTAGGACTGGTTAGATCGCCAAAATAACAAGCTTTATATTGTTGATAAAGGAATAATATGGGTCATTTCAAAACCAATCAGAGGGGCTGGGGATTTAGCTCAGTGGCAAAAGCGCCTGCCTGGCAAGCGCAAGGTCGTGAGTTCGGTTCCCGGTACCGGAGAAAACACCAAAAAAAACAAACAAACAAACAAACAAAAAAAAAAACAGAGTAGATGCTGTGTAGATGAGATGAGAAGTCAAAATTCTGCAATTCTTCATCGTGAGGTTTTGTTTTTGTTTTCTTGTATTAATAGTATGATCCTTTTTTGAATAGAGTATATTGTACTTGATATACAGTAATTCTGAGAAGCCTACCAATGATTTGCTGATTGCTAGATTAGATTCTTCCGATAATTGTTTATTGTTGGTCATCTGCTATATCTCAGGGATGGTGTGCAACACTTTACATATATCTTCTCTTTAGCCCACACAACAGTTTTTTGAGCCAGAAATTATTATCCGTAATTTACAGAGGAAAAAATCCGACGCTCACTTATATAAGATTGGCTTGCTGAAAATTCACACTAAGGAAAAGGCAGGGGGAAGACTTAAATTTAGGTCTATATAAAAGCTGCACTTTTCTTGTTTTTTAAAATGACTATTAATGATCAAATTCTAGGCTTTTAACAGTCATTGCACATAATTCTGTGTCATTCACTTGCCTGTCCAAGTGTTTTGATACTTATATTTCCGTACATTCTCATATTTGAGAAAATAAAACATCTAGAAAGCTTAATTTGTAACCCCCCCATCTCTACGAATAAGGTAAATGACAAGATTGCTCAATAAATGCCTTCTGTTTGGAGCCCTTTAGTTCTTGAGAAATGAAAATCATACTGACAGGATGGAAAAATTTTAAATGTATTAAATCATTTCTTGCTTTCTTCAACACTACACATACTGAACAGATTTAGCTTTCTCTTATGCAATCAGAAACATCATTTATTATCCTGTGTTGTAATTTGTTGGTTTCCTCAGAACATTTATTAGACTTGATCTCCCAATTGTTTTGCATTTTGAATTCACTATTTTTCTGTGGTTCATTCTTCATTGTCACGACAAATAGTGAGACATAGTGATTAAAACTGTGGGTTGCAGAACCAGACTTTTAGATTTTAAATCCTAGCTCTGTCACTTACTAGCAACGCATTGAACCTGGGCAAGGTACTTGTCCCTCCACATTTTAATCTTCTAATTTGTAAAACAGGGGTAATAAGAATACTTATAAGATTATTGTGAGGTTAAAATGAGTTAATATGTATGAAAAGTTTAGAACAGTGCAAGGCGTATTGGTAAGGCCAGGTAAGTGTTTGCTAATATTATTAGACTTTAGGTCTTTAAAAGTTACATTTTAATTCTTTGAAAATTGTTGTTCCTTGAATGGTATTTGATATATGGTAATTACCAGTTTACTAGATAATTAAATGAACCCAACTGGAATATTTCATCCTAAGTAATTCTGGGAAAATAATAATTTATTAAATTCATTGTGTCTTATGCAATAATCACTTTTAGGTGTTTGAAGTGGAGATTCAAACTATTGCACTTTATTATGTGTATCACAATAATGGGACTTTTAATCTCTGTTTTGAATTTGGGGGCTATTTCAGTGGTTTAAATTATGAGGTACTAGTACATGGAAACCTTTGCAGATGTAGTCTATTGCCTCATATTATTATGATTCTATATGGATAAGTATCTCCTTTTTAAAACAACACCATTTACCCATTGACACACATAAACGTATTTCTTCAGTATAATTGTATTGTTGCCTATATCAACAAGAATAAATAGTGTTCCTCATAAAATTTATAAGGTATGTGCACATTTTGGGGTGTGTATTTTAATCCAAGTCAGGTAAGGGTTGATATTGACTCTTCTGGTGTCCATAGTTACAAACATAACAATGAGTTCCATCCTTGCCATTATGGCTCATATGTTACAACTTTCTATTTAAAATACATGCTGTACTTTGTAAAAGTGATTCTTTTTATTATGGTAAAATGTACACATTTAAGTGGTACTAAACACATATGTACCTAGTGTTGTACAGTACAATAAGCATTATCCATTTGCAGAACTTTTTCATCATCCCCAAGAGAAACCCTACACCCATTAAAACCACTTCTCATTTTCCTCTCCTCCCCTACCCCCCCGCTCCCCCATTCCCCCAGCTCTTGTTAGTTTTTGTTCTACATTCCGTTTCTGGTCCTCATGTAGGTAGAATCACGAAGTATTTGTTTGTGACTGGCTTATTTCACTTAGCATGATGTTTTAAAAGTTCATCCAAGGGGCTGGGGATTTAGCTCAGCGGCAAAAGCGCCTCCCTGGCAAGCGCGAGGTCGTGAGTTCGGTTCCCGGTACCGGAGAAAAACCAAAAAAAAAAAAAAAAAAAGTTCATCCATGTTGTAGTATATGCAGAACGACATTTCTTTTTTTTTCTTTCTTTTTTTTTTCTTTTTTTTTGGCGTTTTTGAGGCAGGGTCTCACTATGCAGTGCAAGCTGGCCTTGAACTCACTTTGTACCCCAGGCTGGCCTCGAATGATTCTGTTGTCTGAGCCCCCTGAGTGCTGGGATTGCAGGCATGCACCACTACACCCAGCTTACATTCCTTTTTTAAAGTTGCATAATATTCTATTGTATGGATGAACCAAGTGCTATACTTTTGATGCATATTGAACTATACTTTATACTTGTATGCTATGAACTCAATATTTGGTGATTTGAAGGTGAGCCCTTGGAATGGAGCTGTCAACTCAAATGACATTGTTTTTGAACTATAAACAAAATGTCTGGTATACATTGTTAACTTGAGTCAGTGTACATTGACTATAGGTTAAAAAAAAAAAACTAGCACAGATAATAATGATAATATTACCTAATACTTCTGTGGTGTTTACAATAAGTCATGCATTGTTCCTTGTACTTTACCTATAAAGTAGGTGTTTTTGTTCCCACCTGTAAAGTAGGTGTTTTGTTGAGGAAGCTGAAACACAGGGAAACTAAGTGAATTATTAAACTACACTGGCTAATAAATGTTAAAATTGGGATTTGAACTTGGGCTGTCTGGCTCCTGAGTTTGTTGATTGTTAGGTGTTGTCAGTGTCAACTTTGTAGTATAGCTTGTTTTGCTTGCCACACTCTTCTTCTGTCTTCCTTTTATATTCTCTTTAAAATTGAAGATTACTTCTGACCTTACTAAGCAGTGGAAGACCAACTAAACCTAAACTGTCATCAGAGTAACAAGTGCCTCTCATTGGATGGGATAGCATTTAAATGGAATTCATACTGCATTTTCACAGCTTAGTTCTTATTATCCTTCTCTGAGAACCTGGTTTTTGAAAAGTAGAATCTGAAACTTTATGATTTTATATTGCATATATATTGTTCTGTGTTTGATTTTAAATATTGCACAATTTTCACAGTGCAAGAATTCTATGGGTAGGAAGAGCTTTTTGTTCATGATGTTAGTGACTGTCAGAATGTTTTATGGCACTTATTTTGCTGCTAAGTCATTACTCTCTTGCTTTATTCCTGAAAAAAAATTTTTGAAATAGCATTTTTATATACATGATCAACTTCATTGTAATTTTTTCTTGTTTTTTTCTTTTGATTACATTTTATTTCTTTGACATTTGCAATTGAAAGTTTCATTTTTGAAAGTGATGGAAATCAGTGCCTGCTTGATATATTTTGGCATCAAAGAAGGCGAATCAGCCTGTTCTTTTTGGCACCAGTAATAGCTTGCATATGTCACAAGTACAGTATATATTTGGAGGTATGAACTGTCTGTAATGTCTAGTAGATACAGAACCATAGAGTGAATGTTAAGGGTTCAAAGGGTCCTTGATTTATCTCTTTTACTCCTCAGTGGACAGTTGGGAATCTCAGGCTCCAGATGATTAAATGATCTGCCTATATTCATACAGCATTACTCTTTAAAAAAGAATTCCAGTGTTCTTTTTTTGAATCATATCTTACTTGTCTAGCCTTCTTGCTTATAAGTGGAACTGCCAGATGTTTGACTTGTGTGTACTTCGTTGTCATTCTTTTTCATAGTAATATGTTCTGGATGAGGGATAACGAGCTGGATGAAGCAGGTTGCAGAGGGACTGGGATGCTTGGATCAAAGTGAATTGACTTCAAAACTGGTTATGTATGTGAGGGTGATAAATCTAAGCTGATCTAGGATTCTGTCTTAGACAGCCAGGTAGATGG